GTACAACTAGAGTAAAACTGTGAACGCATGTTTGATTCGAAATGGATTTAATCCAATAAAAACAAGCACAATTGATTCGCAATGTTTTAATCCAATAAAAACAAGCACAATTGATTCAAAATGTATAAAAACAAACAAGTTTAAGAAAATAATCCAAACACCAAACGAAACAAGTACTCGGTCAACAAAGGACACCAAACGAAACAAGTACTCGGTCAACAAACAATCCAATCCAAACACCAAACGAAACAAGTACTCTTTCAGCTCTTCAAATCCGTTTCCAATTTCGTCAGCTTTGCTTGAAGTTGCAAAGCCATCTCCCTTAGGTCATTGACTTCTTTGTCACTTCTTAAAACTTTGGTTTCCATCTCCTTAAGATTAGCAAACTCAAGAGTAGAATTGGTCCTTACACGAATATCACCGGCACAAGAGTAGAATTTGGTCCCAGTCAATAACCCAATTGTTTGAGTCTTAAGCACAGCTGGTTGTCCACAGTAACATATGGTCGGAATGCCATATGGTAAGGGCTCCCATGTCGCCGGAGTCGGAGGAACTCGAGTTGGAGATGATATCTCTGCCCAATTATCATATTTGGGGAGGATGAGTTCGTCATCCGAATCTGATGAGTTGCTATTGTTGGACCCAGTATCGAACTCGCCGTATATGAGGCTCTCATGATTCCAACGACCCATGTTTCTAGAATCGAAGAGGATCTAAATCATAAAACTAAAACCCTAATCAAACGCGAAATGGATTGGAATTGAGAAATGGGAGATTACCGTAATCAGAATCGCCTTCGCTGTAATAGGTTCGCTGTCACCGGAATCGGAATCGGAATCGGCTTCGCTGTCGTCGCCGGAATTGGAGTTCAATTTCAAACCCTAGAATTTGGGGAAAATGAGTTTTGACATTTGAAAGGAAAAACCAGACAAAAATTGTCTTCTATTTAAAAAACCCGACAAAAATTGTCTTCTATCTAAAAAAAACAATTAAAACGGCACCGTCATTTTTAACCTCACGTGCGACATGTGCGCCGTCATTTTGCTCTTAGTTTTACCCTAGTTGTTTAGTTGTGCAGTTTTCTTAATAGTTGTACTTTTGGGGATTTAGCTATTTTTTAGTTTTACTATAAATTTTTCAGTTGTACAACAATTTTTTGGAAATAAAAACACATTTCTTTAGTCACCATAAAAAAATATGCTGAATTTCACATTTCATGTCAATTTTTGCATCGTACGGTGAACACCACTATCAAACTATACTTAAAAGTATAATGTGAAACATGGAAGATTGTGAACATTTCACAATTCGTTTAATTTACTTATATTTGGGACTAAATTATAATTGTTCTTATATTTGGGAAGATTATAATTGTTCTTAAGTTTGAAACTAAATTGTATTATTTGTCTTTTAATTTTATTTTTACATTATTTAATTATTTGTAGATGAATTATATTGTTTTAAAATATTTTTTTTTTAAATATCATTTAATGAAAATTTGAAGACAATTTCAAACCCACATAAAATTGTTCTGAAACTAAATTTAATTATATGTCTTTTTATTTTATTTTTACATTACTTAAATTTTGTTCGATAAATTGTTTTTTAAATTAATATTTTTTTTAAAAAATATCATTCAACAACAATTTTAAAACACTTTCAAACCCACATATAATTCACACCAAATACACTAGAATAACCATAACACAANTCAAACGAATCCCATTTGAAACACAATTCAAACNAATACCATTTGAAAAACAATAGCCTTAGTTGTACTTAGTTTTACAAACACAAATACCAGTAGTACGCAGTTT